AAGATGAGAATTGAAGTACTATATAATGACTATAACAAAATTAATAAGGTAAGTTAGATATCAAATCTTATATATTCATTTTGATTGGTCATTTGATTTAAAATTAATAATGTATTTTCGTTTTTATAATTAAATTAAATTAATTAAATTGCATAAATTAGTATTTGACTTGTTTATCCTTAATTAGATGAATTAATTTACTCTTTGAAATTTTAACTCTAATGGCATTCTTAAGTAAATTCTTACAAAGAGAAAGAGAAAGGTTATTAAAGGGTAATTATAAATTGTACTCCCCAAATAATAGTATAGGATTTATACCCTTAATTTGACGTTTTGTTACTCTTAAACGGATAGTGACGTTTTGTTACTCTTAAACGGATAGTAACGTTAAAACCTGCAACACGCATCTTCTTCGAAACCTAATTTTCTCTCTAAAAAAGCCTCCTTAAAAAAGCCGTCGTTTTTCCTTTTAGATCTGAGACCGGTGGCCGGTGGCTTCTTCAGCACCGGGGCTGGTCTCCTCTTTGCTTTTTGTTTGCTCTCCGGCATCTGTAACTTTCGGTGGTGATGATGGTCTAAACGATGTCCGGGTTCGAGTTAGGTTTATGTTGGGGTGGTGTGGTCGGAGATCCGGCCTTCTTTTGACGGTGTGTGTCTCCTCCACCCTTCGTTCTCCTCTCTTGAATTTGGCGATTTTACTCGGCTGATCCAATCTTTTTACCTCTGGCGTTGTAGCGGTTTGTGTTTGTTGTAGTTTCAATTGCTGGGTGTAACTGTTTTCTTTTACAGAGATTCCTTTTAAATTTGGTCTTTTGTGGTTTGGTGCTCTCCATTCTAATGTTTTCTTCTTCTCTGGAAGTTGTCTTCGTCTCGCTCCGGTTTCGATCTTTCACCGGTTCTTTCGTATTCGGTGTGGTCCGGTTCGGGTTTGGTTCGCTCTTTGTCTCTACTCTATAAGTCAGATCGAGATCTGATCTGTTCAAAGGCTTCTTTCGAGGCGTTAACTTGTCGGGGTTTATTCTTTCGACTTCGCCGCTACCGGGAGAAATATTTTGATCATGTTGCTTTTGGCTTGGATCTTGTCTTGCTGGTGTGATCGCCTAGGAACTCTTTCATTGTGAGGTAGTCTCAATCCACTATAGGAGGAACCGCTTATCGTTGTCTCGCTTTGCTGCTTCGGTTTGCTTTGTGTAAGGCATTCCAGTCATGGTTTTGATTTGGTAGGTATGGAGTTTGTGCTAGATTCTAGATTTAATTTGTTGAGTCTCTTGTTTTAGTTTTCATTTATTCCTTGTTTCTTTCCCTGTAATTTAGGGCCTCGTTTCCCTTGTTTGGGTTTAGTCTTTGGGGGTTAAAGTCTCGCCGGCTTAGTTTCTGGGGGTTAAAGTCCCGCCGGCCTTTGTATTCCGACAATGTAATTCACCTTTGTTATATAATCATTCAGACGAAAAAAAAAACGGATAGTAACGTTTTGTTATCTAAATTCACCTTAACCAACGAGGCAACGGGTATGTATTTGTTCCAAAAATTCTCTTGTTGATGATATCTTCCCGCTACATCAAAAAGAATTAAAACCCATGTATAGGTCACTATCCAAATTCAAACCATGTCTTTTATTTTTGCCGACATCCAAATCAAGCTTAACCCTCAATAAATTCATAGTTCAAACTTCAATTGGAAGCAAAATAAAACGAACTTACCAAAACAAAAGAGAAACAAAATGCGTTATTAGTAGAAAATTAATACAGTTGGCTCTTTGTCACATTGTTAACTAACTAGCTTTAAGTCTCAATTACCATATGATCCATAACAACCTGTACTAATAATTTAGAGCCTAAATCTAACTAAAACATAATTATATTTTTTCTTCATTACAGTAGTTAGATCCGGTTCTGATAGGAAGAAACAAGAGTTAGATCCATCATACAATATCAGCTATAT